CAGAGTTTTGATACACACACACACACACACATATAAAAATTATGCTGTTCTGTCTTCTCTTTTCCCCTCCCCCAGGGAGAATATGTGGGTGATGCCCACTTGGAAAAAAACTTTCGGGTCACGTATCTCAGTTGGCACCCCTCCAAACTAATCGTGGCCGTGGGTTGCGAGATGGGAGATGTGGTAGTAGTAAATAAACAAGACAAGGAGCATCATGCTGTGCCATCCAATCATAATGCTGATATTTCGGTCCTGAATTGGAGTACTAATGGGACACGTCTTGTTTCTGGAGATAAAGTAAGTAGTAAAATCAAAATGGCTTTTGAATGCAAAATCTATCTATTATTTGTTAACACAGATATGAAAGTTTCTCTTGTAGATGTGGATTTTTCATTTACTTATAAAGGGAGAAAATGTCAAGCACATTTCCCCAAGGCCACAAAACTAGTATATGTAGTTAAAGTAAGCATTCTGTTTTCTTCTGAAATGTTTCTTTTCTTGGATTTCACCATGTTTGGCCTACCGGGGGTTGAAAAGCTCAAGAAATCACGTTCTAGCGGGTGTCGCACATTGGCGGGTGTAACGCATATTTTGAGCAATAAGGAGCCGCAGCAGAGGGATAAAAGAGCCACATGCAGCTCCAGAGCCGCAAATTGCTGACCCCTACTTTGGTCTTTCAGGAGATGTAGCTGAAGCTCCAGGCTATCTTAGAGATTTGAAGGAAAAGTGCCAAATCTCTCATGCGCTTCCAAGCCCTGCTGTATTTATCAGCCAGATACCTTTCTGCTGTTAAGTTGGAAGGAACTTGAATGATTTCACCATCTATATTCCAAAGGGCTGATTTGAACCTAGACGAATATGGGAAATAGGAAAATGCTCTTCAGGTGAACACAGCAATTTTCTCTTGATTGCTTCTAAAAGTTGGAGTGGCTTAGATCAGGGTCACCAACCTTTTCGACCTTAGGGACCACCAAACTCATAATTTTAAATTCCACAGACTACTAATATGATCTGCCTAATGATTGGCTGGGTGGGCGTGGCTAGGTAGTCATGTGACTGGGTGGGCATGGCCAACTTGATGTCACTCACATCGAGGGGTGCCTTGCTGGTCTCTACTCGCCCCTCCCCTGCCAGCTCCTCCTTGCCTGTCTGCCCAGGGTTCTTAGGGCCCCAACAGGAAGCAGTTGCTGGAGCTAAGCAGCCACCAGGAGAAAGAGTTGACAAAACAGCTCAGCTCAAATTGGATCTGACCAAGGAGGAGGCTCAGCAGAAGCATCTCATTGAAGACTACGAGCATAGGCTTTCCAAGCAGAGGAAAGACCTATGGGAGTGCAAGGCCAGGTACCCGTGCCTGGAGGCTTAGTGGGCTGAGATGGTCAGCCAGTTCCAGGCCATGATGCTGTCCCACTGGAATGAGGCCCTCCGGCTCTTTGCCACCAGCAGTGCTTCTCTCCAGCCTTTGCCCAAAGCCCCACACCAGGAGGCTGAAGCAGACCCCAAGTTGGAATTTCTGCCCCCCTCCAACCCACACAAAAAGCGTGATCTGACAATTACGCAATAGACATATGCGCGCCGTCAAAATAGCGCCGATTAAAACGCGACATCAAAATCGCGTTGACAAATTCACGATGATAAAATCGCGACGACAAAAGCGCGATGACAAGCACAATAAAATCGAAAAAATTACTGCTAGGGTTAGGGTTAGGGTTAAATAAAATCGAAAAAATTACTGTTAGTTTGTTGATGACGCGATTTTGTCGTCGTGCATTTGTCAGCGCGCTATTGTCAAAAATCAATTCGCGATTTTGACGGTGCTCATTTGTCCGTCACGGTTTTGTCAGCGCTCATATGTCTATCGCGCATTTGTCGGTGAACCCACAAAAAGACCCCGAAGGGGAAGACTCTCTGCAGCAACACAAGTGTTCATTGCATGCATGCAGCCCAGGGGCTGTAGTTTGAGGACCCCTGATTTAATGCAATATAAAAAGTGGAAATAATTTTTCCGTGGACCACCAACATTTTCTCGCGGACCACCAGTGTTCCATGGACCACCAGTTGGTGACCGGTGGCTTAGAAGAAATATAATTATCAAGCACAAGATTTTTATTTTGGCAGAGCAGTTCAAGGTTTTAGTAGCCTCTTCGTGATTGACAGCATAGCAGCAACTTTTGTTTGCCATCCTGCCATGAACCTGCCAGACAGGGAGAGCATGATGTGCATGTTAATGCCAAGGGCTGCAGGGCGTCAAGTCGGGACGTGGCACGGGATTTGCCTACAAATGTAACCCTTTCCATTTTCCTTCTTAGAACCCCAAACATTGATCAGTGTTTACTTCAAGGCAAATTACGGCCTACAGTTAGCCTTTGACTTACAATCTTTCATTTAGTAACTGTTTGAACCTACAGCACCACTGAAAAAAATAATTTACAACCAATCCTTTCACTTATAACCTCACAGTCACGCAATCAAAATCCGGGTAATGATTACACGGGCAAGACATTTCGGTGATAACATTGAATTAGAGAAATGGCAAAAAATATGGGATAGGAATTATAAACTCGACTATGGCCTTGGCTTATGAAGAAAATCTATGCAAAATGTTTTACAGGTGGCACTTACCCCAGCAAGAACTGGCAAAAATGTTTAACAACCTGACTGCAAAATGCTGGAAATGTAATCAGTCCCCAGGCACATACTACCCCATGTGGTGGACGTGCAGCAAAGCAAGAAAATATTGGGAGAAATTGCATCATTGGCTGGAAGAGATAACTAAACAGAATATAGATTCGAAGCCGGAATTATATCTGTTGGGAATATAAAATCCGGGTATTGGTAACTGCCATGTCTTTATGATAGTTGCAATGATACAAAGTCATATGATACAAAGTCATGTGATCAACATTTATGAGCTTCCCAGCTGGCTTCCAACAAGCAAAGTCAATGGGGGTGGGGGTGTCATTTAAGGACCCCCTGATTCACCTAACAGCAGTGATTTCTCCGTAACAACAATGGCAAACAAGGTGGTGAAATCAGCCCCAACTCACTTAACACAAGTCTTGCTTAGTAATGGGAATTCTGGCCCCCAATTGTGGTCGTAAGTCAAGGGTTACCTACCTGTACATTGGATACCCTTGGCATAGGAGACAAAAGGAGATCACAAGAGGTTTCGTTCTAAAAAGATCATAAAAATCGACATTTAGCATATTTTGGCTAGTGTCAGGGGTGAAATGCTTGGATCAGTTTGGATCAATTTTCCCGATCCAAATGCTTGGATCAGTTTGGATCAATTCGCCCGAACCAGTGGTAAAAAGTGCTACCGGTTTGGGCAAACCAGTACTTCTGATGAACAGCCAGGCGACAATCAGCTGTGATGTGCGATTTATATTAGCTAGAATCATCGGATCTCCTACTTTCTAGCGAATCTAAATCACGTGGCACAGCAGATTCCCCCCTCCCGCCCTGCTGTTCTACTTACCTTTGCAGATTCGGAAGGCTTCAAAATGTTCCTTTTTTAGCCTCAGGCGCGCAAAGCACATGCTGGGTAGCAGATCACCAAACCGGTAGCAGATTTCAGAGGATTTCACCACTGGCTAGTGTGCTTATGTACGGCCAATTATTGAGAACTTGCTTCTCCAAATAAAGTGATCGATAAAGATATGAGCTCATCTCAGCAAGTATTGTATTTGCACAGGATTGGGAAAATGAAGAAACGCCGAGAGGAGAAGATATAATTAAAAAAAAAATTAGATTATGCAGGAATGAATAAACTGACCTTAAAGATAAAAGAGAAGGAAGATACAGAATATTTCCCAATATGGAATTTGTTTTATAAATGGTTGGATAATAGAGATTAGGAGCTGGGAATTTTATATAAGCAACTGACCCGGACAACACACTGTTCACAAAACACTTTTATGTGTTAATTGAAAATGTATAAATAAACTCTATAAAAAAAGAAAAAAAAGATATGAGTTTGTCTTAAACCCAGGACCACCAATTGCAGAACAAATGGTCCATAAGAAAATATTAATCGAATCAATAATTAACAAGAATTAATATTATGACGAAAGACCACTGTTATTATATGACTGCTACTAATGAATTTTATGATGATGAGGAGGAGGATTGCTCAAACTAACCGTAACCAGAAAACACACTCTTATATAGACATTGAAACTGTTGGTCTTTCTATATATAGCAAAAAGAAAATATTAATCGAAACATCTCTCTTTTGTAGCTCGGGGTTCTTGTATTGTGGCGGATGGATCAGCGGGGTAGAGTCCAAGGCCCCCCATTGTTAAAACACGAGTATGGAAAACATCTTAATTTCTGCATTTTTCGCCCCCCTCCTCCCGGAGAGTAAGTATGAAACTTTGGCCAGAATTTCTGTCCGTTGATGTCAAGTTCCACTGGAGTAAACATATGAAACTTCTTTGATGTTTAGGTGTTAGTATCAGTGATGAATCCAGCGCCGTATCAGCGTTCCAAATATCATCCAAAATTAAATCTGAGTCCAAGGCAAAGCATTGCTCTAAGTTCCAATTTATTAAGAGAGACATGTTGGCACATCTGTGGAAACCCAAATCTGAAAACTTCCTGGGGTTTCCACCCAGCTGAAAGTTCATGATCTTGCCCCCACACCCACAAGTCCATCCCATGGTCCAATCTTCCACTGCCACGCTGGCATCTCACCCATCCACTTCCAATCAGGTTCAGAGGTGCAGAGACAAAAGATGACCTTGGACTTCTAGAAAGGAATGTTTTATTTTGATAAACACATTCTACTCCTTACTATTCCCCCTCCCAATTACCCCACTAATGAAACAGCGTAGTAAAATAACA